ATCTGTGACTGTTTTCACAGGGTTGAGTAGATGCAACAGAGACTATAACAGCTCAAAAGCCTAAAATATTTATTACAGGGCCCTTCACGTAAAAAGTTGGCTAATTTTCCACTCATTTCAAGAGTGTTTGTGATTGTGTGTTGGAACATTTGTATAATAGCTGCTTTAAACTCTTTGTCAGATAATTCCAACATCTGTGTCAGTCTTGCTGGTGTCTGTTGAGTGTTTTTTCCCATGTGAGTTCATATTTTCTTGGTTTTTCATATGCCAAGTAATTCTGAATTGTCTGCTAGAAATTTTAAATTTTATGTAATGAAATATATGCAATGAGGTCTTGTTTAAATCCTATAGAGAACGTACATATTTTGGTTTTAGGCCTAGGCCTGCTTAAGTTCAGACAAGTTCAACCCACCTTCTGTGAGCTGTGATTAGAATAGAAGGCCAGTTTTCAAAGCCTTTGCAGTGCCATTCGGATACATCCTGAATATGTACTACTCAGTGGTCACCTGGGACCTCAATGATCTGTTAGTTCGGTTCTTAGAGTCACTGTGTACACAGTTTGGTGGTGAGCCCAGAAGTTCATATACAAATTTAAAGGATTTTCCCAGAAAGTTAAGGAAGAGCTCCTCTGTCTCTACAATCTCCCCAGTACATTCCAGCTCCCTACAATTTCCCTTTCAGTTCTATGGCCAGGAAGCTGGGGCCAGAAAGTTACTCCACTTTTGTGTACTTCTGTTACTACTCCCATCTTTGGCCAAGTGGCAGAAGACAGAGAGGAGGAGCTATAGAGATTGGTCAATTAGAGAGGTATGTTCCCCTTCCTCAGAGTTTTGGCCCCTGCTGGCTCCTGTTGTGGCCTTTGCTGCTGCTGCCACTACAGGATGGCTTGGGGACTGGGGCTCAAGAAAAATGGAGAGAAGAAAAAAAACACACACACAGAATTTCACACTCTCTCACTGGGTGTTCAGCGTTTTCTATTACTCAGCCAGAACTAAAGGGCTCCCCTGGAGATCTCTCTACAAACATTCAGTGCCCACTTCTGGGCTTCAGGCTGCACTGCATTCAGGTAAGCAGATATCAACCAAAATGGTAAACTCACCTTTAGCTCACTGGTACTTCAGGTCTTCTCCATTCAGCCTGCTACTGTTTACTTTTCGGTTTTTCTCTCAGTGATCCATGCATTCTGTCCATTTTATAGTTGCATTCAGTGGGCAAGTCTGAAGGCCAGTGTGCCAGGAGCAGTGTGAGGGTGGGCACGTGCAACCAGGTGAAGAAGTCTGAGGTGAAGCAGCGACCAGCCATGCAGGGCCCTGGAGAGCACGGCCAGGCACTCGAGTTCCTAGTGCAATGAGGAGCCTGGCGAGGACTCTAAGCAGGGACACTCCATGTCCCCCCAAATAATTTACATTTTAAGAGGCCACTTTGACTGCCCTCTGAAGAATGAACTGGGAGAGAACAAGCAGGCAAAAGAGGAAGCAGAAAAAGAATGTAGGAGGCTGTGGTAGGGGTGCAGGCAAAAGAAGAGGGTGGCCAAATAGGGAAGAGGAGTGGGCAGAGTCTTGATTTGCTTCTGGTGGGAAGCGTGCATGCCCTTTGACAGACTGGATACATGGGGCAGAGAGAGGAAGCAGCACTGAGGCTCGGCGGGGCTGAGAGGGAAGAAACTGGACAGCAGGGCAGGTTGGTGGGGAAAATCAAGAGTGGTATTTGGGTCCTATGGCATCTGAGAAGACAAGATGCGATGTAAGTAGAGATGCTGAGGAGGCAACTGGATAGAGGAGTGTGGTGCTCAGAGACAGAAGAGGAACACTTGAAGGAAAATGTGCAGAGAGGCAAGGAGAATACTTGTACATGCACATATAGTGCATTTCCCCTTTTTTCTGTTAGTGAAACAGATAAAGAATCTAGAAACAGATGAAACTATGTGTTTTTAAAAAGGTATAGATGATAGACTGGCATTTTACCTATGCCATGGAGTTGTGAGGATTACATGAATACAGGTAAGATGCTTAAAAAAGTGCTGGCAAATTCAGTGTTCCCTGCATTTTTTTTTTAACTTCAATTCCAATGGAAAAAGACAAGCTTACCTAGTAAGAGATCTGTATATAACTTGTCATCCATCTGGAAAAAAATGTTAATTAGATACTGTACCTTATATCTAAGTGAAAATACATTTCATATCAATTAAAAATGTGTGGAAGATAATCAAACTAGAAAAGTATGAGAAAAACAGCTGGATGAATAGTTAATTATCTAGTCTTGGCATAAATGAGGCCTTTTTAAGTTCCACAGAAAACCCAGACCCAATAATGAAAAGACTTTGATCATATGCAAAATTCTGTATGGCAAAAATGCTATAAACCATGCCAAAGATAAGAAGGTAAGTAAGCAAATATTGCATCATATATAACAAGCAGAGGATGAATTTCCCCCAAATACAAAGATCTCCTAGAAATTGATCAACAACCCAACAGAAGATTTCTCTTCACAAGAGAAAACGCAAACCACCAAACATATGAAAGGAGGCTTTATCTCACTAGTATTTAGGTGAACTAATAGCGCTTGCCCTTTCACCCATCCAGTTTGACCCAGCTTTCTCAGGCATTGATGCTGGGAGTGTGAATTGCTACCTTTTTTTTTTTTTTTGGATGATCTGGCAAATGAAAAATGTGCATATCATTCCACTCAGCAATTTCTGTTTTAGGAATTCAGACAAAAGAAATAAAAAAGCACCAGTGTGGGGCTGGCCAAGTGGCACGTTGGTTAAGAGATGGCTTGGGACACCAGCTCTGAGTAGCAGGGCCCAGGTTAGGATCCCACATGTGGGCCAGTAACACTGCACTCTCTACAGCTAAGATGGTGAACAACAGCTCGACCTGGAGCTGGGCTGCTGTGAGTTGCTGGCATAGGCTGCAGTAGGGGCTAGCTGGCAGCGGGCGTGCGCTTTCATGAGCTGCCCGGAGCCACTGTGAGCGGCTGCCTGACACGGGAAGAGCGCAATGATAATACCAACACGGGCCAGTGAAGTGACGTCCTCCACAACTAGACTGAAGAACAAAAGGACAGCAACTTGTCTGTTCCCCTTCCCCAATTCCCCAATNTGTTCCCCTTCCCCAATTCCCCAATGCTGTTCCCCTCCCCAAATTCCCCAATAAAGTCTTTAAAAAAAAAGCACAAGTGTGTTTCCTGTTGCACTGTTTGAATTAGCAAAGCACTGAAAAATATCAGAATGTCCATCAATAGGAAAATGGTTGAATAAATTATGTATGGTTCATTACATTACATTTTGTAATGTTGTCAGCTGTTAAAAAGCGTATGTGAGACCTATAATGACCTGGAAAGATGTCTGTGACCTGTTGTTAAGGAAAAAGGCAAATTATGTAGTAAGGGACTAACATTCTATTTTTGGTTTTGGTATTTTGCGTATGTTTTTTATTTTTTGGTGTGTGTGTGTGTGGGGGGGTGAGTGATAGTGTTTACACTTTCATGCATGTACTTACGTGTGTAAGGATGTAGAAGGAGAAGATACCCAACTGACAAAGTTGATCATCTCAGAGAGGTAAGATGGAAAGGTGGGAAGAGGAGGCATAATAACTTTTCTTTTGAAAAATTAAAATATGTCTATATAGATGTAAATATATACTTTCTCTTTACAATTCTTTGTATTATTTGACTCCTTGTTGAAATTAAAAATGAAGGATAAATAAGGATAACAAATATTATATATATATATATATATATATATATATATATATATATATATATATCTTACAACTCAACCCCCAAAGGGAAACAACCCAATTTAAAAATGGGCAAAGGGCTGGAACAGACATTTCTCCAAAGAAGATACACAAATTGCAAACAAAACACATGAAAAGATGCTGAACATCATTAGTCACTAGGGAAATGCAAATCAAAACTACAACGAGATGTGACTTCACAACCACTAGGATGGTTAGAATTAAAGAACAAAAACAGAAAGTGAGTGTTAGTAAGGATGTGGGAAAATTGATACTCGTGTTAAACATGGAATTACCCTATGACTCAGCAATTTCACTCCTAGGTATATACCTGTATATCCAAAAGAATAGAAAACATGCATTCAAACAAATGTGTGTTCATGTTCATAGCAGCATTATTCACAATAGCCAAAAGGTAGAAACAATTCAAATGTCCACCGACAAATGAATGGATAAACATGTGCTAGATACAATGTAATATTATTCAGCCATAAAAAGGAATTAAGTTCTAATTATTACGCTACAAGGTGAAGGAACCTCAAAAACATTACACTAAGTAGAAGAAGCCAGACACAAAAGATCACAAGTGTGATTCCACCTATATGAAATTTCCAGATAGAGGCAGAAAGCCAACTTGTGGTTGCCAGGAATTGGGAGCAGGGGAGGAGATCAACTGCTAAATGGGGAAATGGGGTTTCCTTTAGGGTGCTAGAACCCTTTCAGAACTAGAAAACAGTGGTATTTGTGAGACATTGTAAATGTACTAAACGCCACTGAATTGTTCACCTTAAAATGGTTGACTTTACGTTGGGTGAATTTCATATCAATTAAAAACAGGAAAAGAAAAAAAATAATAAAAGCTCTCTTGTGCACGTGCCTAGTGCAGGCTGGACTAGTGCAGGCTGAGGCCGCGCTCCTCAGGGGTCTCCTGGCAGCTCCGCATCCACCTGCCTCAGCCAAAGTCAAGGCCCCGGTTGGAAAATTTAAAGGGCGACACGGGCTGAGGAAATTACAGTAGGGGTATCAGAAAAAAGGCTCTCAGGAGAGAAAGAGAAGCCGGTAGGACACTCGGCTCCTTACATCGCCACGCCTGCCGGGTCAAGCTTCTCCACCCAGGTTCGGGGCCAAGGGCACCCGCTCTGGGCACCCCTAGCTGGGCCAAGGGCGGGAAGAGGGTCCGACGGCGCATGTGACAGACGCGAAAGAAACCGGAACTGCTCATCGCGGGCGCCTGTTTCCGGAGGGAGCTTGAATGCCGTTGTTAAAGTAGCACGCCGGAGATCCAGCTTCCGGAGTCTCCTTTCGTTCCCGGGTCTTAGCGGGGTGGGGACGGCGGCGGCGATGAGGCAGAAGCACTACCTTGAGGCCGCGGCGCGGACACTGCAGGAGAGCTGCCCGGGCCAGGCCCGCTATCTCCTGTAAGAGGGGGACGCGCGGGGACGCGGGAGGCGCGCGCGGCGCGGACGTGTTTCCTCGTTGCTCACGGGGCTCTTTGTCTTTTACAGCTGGAGCTACGGTTCGTCACCAGGTACGGGGGACGCCGGCCGGCTGTGGGTCAGGCTGTCACCGGCCCGCTCCCCTCCATTCCGCACAGCGCTCAGAATGATCCAAACGAGAAATCTGATGGACCCACTGCTCCCCCCCCCCCCGCAGAGGCGTCTCCGTTCTGTGAACAAATCCAAATTCTTTCGTGTGTCTTAACTGGCCTGACCTGCTAGCAGCATAGGACACATTTATCAGCCTTCTCGCAGTAGTTCCCTCACTTGACGTCCAGGTCGTCACAGAGTTCGCCGCCGACCTCTTTAGCTAGTACTTATCTATCTGCTTTCCTCCTTCCCCCCGAATTTCCCCAATCTCGAGAGATGTTGGAGTGTCTCTCCCCCCCCCCCCCCCCCCCCCAGTACTCTGTCCTCTTTTCTAGCTGCACTCACTTCCTTGGTGACAGTTTTCATCCAGTCTCATGAGTTTTAAATTCTGTGTATGAGGACTTCCAAATTTATATCTCCAGCCCAGACTTCTCCCCTGAAACCTAGACTCATATAGATGCCTTCTTGACAATGTATCGATGTCCATTAGGCCAAAACCCAAGCTTGACCCCCGACACAGTTCTTCCCGTTTGGTAATGGTAACTCATCTTTAATCAGCCTCAAAACCTTGGGGCCATTCCTCCCCAAGCCAATATGCCCGCAAATCCTGTTGATTTTTAAATACATCCAAAATCTAGCCACATCTCACATCCATCTTACCACCCTGGTCCAAGTCATCGGTCTTTCTCCTGGATTACTGCCAACTCGTCCAATGCGTTTCTAAGGCCGTTCTCAATCCAGCAACCAAAGTGAGCCTAATAAAAACCCAATCTAGATCCTGTCACTTCTATACTACAAACTCTCAAATGGCTTCCCATCTCAGAGTAAAAGTGAAAATCTTTTAAAAGGACTACAAGGCCTTACATCACAGGACTGCACTGCCTCTCTGGCCTGCTCTGCCTTTTGTTCCCTTAAGGTTAACCACGACTAGGCTGTTGCACAGCCTTTGCAGCTGTCCTTTCTTCTGTCTGGAACGCTTATCTCATGTCTGCTTGGATTTCTCCCTCGCTTCCTATGGTCTCTGCAAATCTCACTCCAGGAAGCCTTCCCTGGCTACCCAATTTCAGATTACAGCAGCTTCATCAGCACTCCCTGTTCCCTTCCTGTCTTACTTTTTTCTTCCCAGCACTTAACATTTGGTTTTGTTACATTTATTGTCTCCATGAATTGTTCATTGTTGTATGTCTGACACCCAGAATAGTGCCTGGCACTTAATACTCAAAAATAGGAATTTTACATTTAGTAGAGCTAAGTTACAAGCATGGTACTTCGCTCTTTGTCGTGCTGTTGCATCCCTAGCACTTAGCACAGTGCTCACCAATAAATAGTCACTGAATAAAGAGACAGTGTGTCCACCTTCCTCTTCAGATGTATCACTTTCACACCCTTACCTTTCCCTCAATAGCCATCTTTCTCTTTCACTGTACTTCTACCTGAAAGCCTTTTTACCAATAATGGGTGCCATCTCCAAATACAGATAGAATTTATAGTCATCTGTGACAAACTTTGTCAAGCCATCTCTGAAGTGTTTCTGGCTGGTCCGTGCAGTTTAATAATTTCCAGGGCATTTAAATCATATTTTGTTACAGTTCTTACCAGTCATATCTTCATTTGTTTAGGGCTTCCCTAGAACATGAGTTATTAAAGGTAGCAACACTTTCACTTCCGTATTTGTGTCTCCACAGCCTGGCATGGTAGATGGTCAGCGAATACTTTGATTTATAAAGGGTCTGGGGCAAGTCTGTTACCTTGTAGTGAGATAGCTACCTGCAGACAGGTTAGCTTGTACTGATATAGCTACTGCAGACAAAGCCCAGCCCACAAACCTCTAAGTTGTGCTAATTATTTTAAAAGGAAACAAAAAGTATTTTGTGATGAATGTGTTTTAAATAAGTGAGACATCCAGCCCCTTTTACTTAGAAGCAAGCAATATAGCAAAGAGTGGCAATTAACCTGTCATTAAAAGGAGTGAATGGATAGAATTAGTGTTTTGCAAAATAAATTACTGCCAGTTTATCTTTTTATAAATTCTCATATTTTGAGTTTGCTTAAGGAGAATGTATATCTGCTTATATTAATATACTTTTTCACATAATAAAAACTGGGGTAATACAATATTCTGCTTTGCTGACTCATGAATTTCATTTACATAATTTCAGATACTAAAAGCACTTTTGAAGGAACATGTCCATACTGTTTCCAGTTGCTGGTTCTGGATAACTGTCGAGTGCGCCTCAAACCCAAGCCCAAACTGACAGCCAAAATACAGAAACTTCTTAATCGAGAAGCAAGAAATGCACTCAGTTTTAAAGAAGCAAAAATTGTGCAAAAGTACAGAGACTCCAAAAGCGTATTGGTAAGATGTGTAAACTATAATTTTCTATACCAGTATGTGTAAGCTATAATTTTCTTTAACTTAAAATGAGGTTGGTTAAGAACAAACCTGAACATAACTCAGATTTGTAGTAGTATAGATTGTCAAAGCAGATACATAAAGTTTTTTTCTAGTGATTACTTTTTATCGAGAGTACAGCTTATTTTGTTTTTCACAATTACTTAAAACCAAACATCATGAGCTCTCGATTGTTCTCAGATCTTATTATTGAGCACAATTCTTTTCACAGATTTGAGGACCTTGAGCTGACCAATGTGACTTCACATGAACTGCAGCTAGCAATAAATTATTTTCTCAGTTAATGGTCCTTTTCTCAAACAACAGTACCTTAGTAATTAGGTACCAGTCTCATTTCTTCAGTCATCCCCCCTCCATGTCAGAGTATGTATTTAACTTTAACAAAGAAAGTGTATTTTATGTTCATTCATTAAACCTTTATTGAGGGTCTGTCTTGTGCCAAACAGTGCTAAGTATTAGAGATATAAAATGGAATAAAACAACCAAAATCAAATTACTTATGGTTTATTATATATAGACCAGTATCAGATACTTTATCTGCATGTTTATGTTAACATTATCAACTATTCCAGTGCCTACTTATTACCAGGCACTCTGCTGGGCACTGGACATTAATGACAGCTTTTGTCTGGCCCACTCCCAATTAGTAATAACTTGAATTGGAACTGCCATGTTTAGGAGTTTGCCAGTATTGAATAGGTGAGTGCATTTTGCTTTGTCATAAAACTGACTGTTTAATCTATATCTAGTTTCTTCAAAAAGTATAAAGCAACTTTATATAGACCTTTGAATATATGAAGATCTTCCATTTGCATTTTCATCTGCTCATGAACATTAAAGTACTTCTCAGCTAAACCAGTTTGTATTAATTTTGTTGAGGCCTGTGCATTGTGAGTCAGATATGTAGAAGAAAGGCATTTAGCTAGAAAATGGACCATTTCTTGAAAAATGAATCCTGAAAAGAAAATCAGCCTCTAGAGCTAATAAAGTGAAGAGGTGTGAGAATGTGAGAATTCATTTGAATGGTTTTTATAAATTACTTTAGACCTGTATTTACAGAATCACTAAGGATTTGAAAGAGTCGCTTAAATTTTGTGACATGATACTGTGCCATGTTTTATTGTGAAAAGGCTTGGAGTTCATCTGTAAAAAATGTTAAATGTCTACTGCTGTTATAAAGAACATCCGGGTGAAGGGTGTCATTCCCAGTCCCCTGCATTTCCCCGAAACATGGTTTTACACTGAGAAAGTAGAGACTTGGTTATCTTTAAAAGGTGTTTTAAATTAAATACAAATGTTTAGCTATTAATTTTTTCATTAGAGATTTTCTCATTTTAAATTTGTGTTTGTCTGATTCCTGGTGCTCGATTACAAGCTCCCAAGGGCAGCCTCTGTTAACTCACCCGGTAGTACCTGGTGTAGTCCCGTACATATAAGAATCTAATTAACATGGAGTTTATTGGATTTAATTATAAGAGAAATCAGGCCAAATATTTCTTCTTTTTATGGTAGCTGGTCACTTGTAAAACATGTAACAGAACAGTAAAGCATCATGGTAAAAGTAGAAGCTTTCTGTCAGCACTGAAGAGCAACCCTACCACTCCTACACGTAAACTCAGCCTGCAGACACCAGAGAGAAAAACTCGAAGTTCTGCAAACATGAATCATGATATGTCTGGTTCCAGAGGCAAGAGCCCAGCATTGATTTTCAGGTATCTTAATTCATTAAGCTATTTGAATTGCCATTAACTCCTAAGTGTTTCTTCTAATTTTCTCTGTTTTATATACACTTCCTAAATTTGCCATGCAGTTCAGGCCTTGCCCCCTTTTTTCCTCTATACCCTTTTCTTCTCTAGTGTCATATACTCCCATATCTCCCATTCCCATCTCTGCATGACTTCCAGGTATGTTCCTCTACTTCCAACCCCTCCCTGGGCCTGTTTCTATCTGCCTGCTAAGTATATCCACTTCATCCCGCTACATGACTCTACAGCTAACTACTCAAACCCACGCATCCTAAATTCCTTATTCTGTAAACAAACATGCCCTTCTAGACATTGTGACCTGAAATGGTGAGGACAGTTGACGACTCCTACTGCCTTGGTCCTTGTCCAGTTAGCCACCAGTGCTATCTATCCTTCTTCCATGGTGTTTGCATCTGTGTTCTCCTTTTTCTCCTACCACTACTATCAGTTCAGGTCTTTATTCACCTTTTGCTGGGACTACTACAATAGTTTTCTGAGTCTTCCTGTTTAAAGCCTCCTAGTCTGATTAGAAGAACCTCACTCTGTAGCATGTGGACCAAATACTCCTGCACGGTTTTGTAGCCCTCACTGTCTGGCACCAATCTGTCTGCCCATCTTACTTTGCCTTAATTCATCCTATATGTCAGCAAAATTGAACAAGTCAGTTACTTTCCTGCTCTAAACCTTTGTTCTTGCTATGTCCTCTACCACAAGTTCCTGAGGAAATCTAAATGAATAGGGATTTGTCAGACGATACAACGTTAACTATGACTGGGCACATGTTCTATTTTTAATAATCCTCAATACTGTATTCACTATGATAGTCCATAAATGTAATTCCATAGAAACCGTAAAAGGAAGTTTTGAACATTTGTTACAAAAGAAAAACTGAGTCTCAGTTTCTTGAACACAACAAAATTCTGGAAGGACTGGATTATCTCTGTGTACTGAATTTTCTTATACTGAGTTTGATGTTTATAAAACTGGATAGGAATTAAACTTTCAAATCCAGTTTTCTCTATATTCTTAATTATTTTGATGTTTGGTACGATGGGAATTCATCATGGACATTTCCACTTTATTGGATAAACATAAATAAGAGAAAATTTGGTGTATTTAAAATAATTCACTTGTATTTAGACCAGACTGCTTCTTAAATATATTTCACGTTTATCTTATGATGAGGAGTCAGAAGCGGAATCAGACTGACAAACCCCAAATAAGGGTTCAGGGGATGGAACACAATTGGTGGGAATGAAATAGAATGAGGCTTAACTATACACATACCAGATGGGGAATCATTTTTTGAGTGGATATGTTTGGAGGGCCTCCTCTGTACATGGCACTGTTAAAAAGCACTGGAATATATAATTAGTAGTACAACGTGTCTGCCTTATGGAGCTTACATTCTGGGGGGAAGAGACAATGTAGGTTGAGATCCTTTACTTTGGAGAAAGGAAGTGGTCTTAAGCTGCGAAGAAGAAATATGTTTTGTGAATCTTGATGTCAGACTTAAAGGGAACCCAGATTTGATGACACTTGACCATTAGCCTTCTCTTTCAGGTGTGATAGAAGCTTCCAGAACCACCCAGTATACCAACTAAATGTTGCCGATAGCCTATTTATTGAGGAGGTTTTTGGGAATGACTGTGCTGGGTACAGCTACTATTCGTATGTGGCCATAATACAGAAGGGCAGAAAATGATTCTAGTAGCAGTAATCTAGGCTAACTAAGCCGGAAGGAAACTTTTTAAACTGTCATTTGTCAGTATACCTAAGTATGGTTTTATGTTTCTTTTCAGAACACCTACATCTGGACAGTCAACACCCACTTGCTTCTCAAAGAATGTGAGCAAAACAAAGAAGCACTACTCTCAACTAAAAGTGTTGCTTAGTCAGAGTGACTCCCAAAAGAGTCCAAAGGTTGACTTCAGAAATTTCTTATCTTCTTTGTAAAGGACGGACTATGAAAACAAATGTTTAATGCAATTTTTGAAACTAAACTTAGTTAGAAAAACAGCCTTATGAGAGGGTCTACTCACTCCTTTCTGGGTTTCTATAACCTTACTGCTAATTCAGAAAAAGGATCAAGTATGTGTGTACTTGTTTTCCCACAATCATCTGCATGACTATTAGTAAAAATTTAACGTTCCTATTTTGCATGCAAAAGTAAATATATGGGACATTCTTGACTATAGATGATTCAGTCAGACACCAAATTTTTCATTTTTACAACTTTCTGTTGTTTCTTTGGTCATATTTCACCATCAGTGGCATTTCATGTCTCTGGTGAAGACTCATTTCTAGTTCTAAAATTTACATTAGAATATAATGTAAGAGTTTAGGTATCTTGAGTCTTTTTTGGAATACAGATATAAATTTTTTTAAATGATAGGCTAGGATTGTATTCAACCTGTTTTTAAAAACTCATTAAATAAATAATTTAGATACTTTAAACTACGATCTGTTTCCAAGCCTCTCTGCTGCATATAGTTTAAAACTTATTTTTCTCCCATTAGGGCTTGGTAAACTATGAAAGACCAAGGTCATTAACAAGTTGGTAGTTGTGTGAAGTGAAATTACACCAGCTAGTGACAGCATTAACGAGGGACGGTGAGGGTCATCATTCTGAACTTGAGACTAAGCCACAGGCTCGGGGCTGGGCCTTGCCTTTGTGTCCACAGCACCTAGCATCATACTTTGGTCGTGACAGATACTTTGCCTTTCTGGCTAACTTCTCACTGGAGCATCTATTTATCTTGAACTCTTGCTCTTGTTTGCTTACCCCTCTCCCTGATCACTCAGCCCTAGTGAGCTCTTTGCAGTTCTCAGAACATACTGTCTTCTTGCCAGCCTTGGGCCTTTGCACATGGTTTTGGAAACTGCTGTCTACTCCAACCCCACTGCATTATGAGCGGACACTTTTTTATCAACAGTGCTGGTGACCCTATAGTTTGTTTCTGCCTGTGCGCTCTTTGCAGGTCTGGGTGATCTCACCTGTGCCACTAGCACATAGTTTCCTGCCCAGCACGTAGCACAAGCTCTGCAAATATCCCTGCATTACTACATTTTAATTCCACTTCTTAGCCCACTTGTTCCACACTAGGTTTAGAACTAAAGATCTTTTACAGCCACATTACTGGGAAGTGGATAAGAAGGAGCAAAAGTAGGAACTCCTAAGTGGAAAGCTGTTTACATTTCCTTAGTTGCAAATGAAGAACATGGATTCTTGACTTTCTCTTCTGTTTGGCAGAAAGGGCCTTTGGGCATCTCTAAAGAAGGTATTAAAATTATAGCGTGGATACAAAACTTGTAGAAGAAAACAGGACTAAATCTTCAGAATCTTGGATTATGCAATATAACACCAAAAGCACAAACAACAAAAATATAAATTGGACAATTAAAAACTTGTGTGCCTCAAATGAGGATACCATCAAGAAAGTGACAAGATAACTCACCAAATATTTGCAAATTATGTATCTGTTAAGGGGCCCATATCCAGAATTATAAAGAACTCTTAAAATTCAATAATAAAAAGACAAAACATGGACAAAGAATCTGAGCAGACAATTCTCCAAAGAAAATAAATGGCCAACAAGCACACTCCTAAGTATATACCCAAGAGGACTGAAAGCATGTCTACACAAAATCTTGCATATAAATAATCATAACAGCATTATTTGTAATAGCCAGCAAGTGGAAACAACCCAAATGTCATGAGATGTGGAGCCAGGAACAGCAGAGCACCACTGACCCTGTGGACTGCAGCAAGCCTATGCCAAACTGAAGGCAGCCATCATGAGGATGAAAAGGGCCCTTGTGAGCCAGAGAGGGAAGGGATGAGCAGAACCCCGAGAGAAAAAGCAAACCAACAGGAATGGGTGGCAAAGAGGCAAGAGGGGATGAGGCTCTAACAGTTGTCTCATTAGTGTCACAAAGAACTCTGGTGTCGCAGAGCTGGATCTGCAGGCGAAAATCATGTGCAACATATCCTAGTTCATGCTATCCACTATTTTCACCCTCAGCACAGCCCCTTGGGCTTTAACTGCAAAAAGGACAATGTGACTTAACGTGATCCCTTCAGATTTTAGAATGCTAAGTAATGTTCCTAAGTATATCAAACCTGAGAGGGGCAGTGCCAGTGGATGAACTGGGACTCAAAATACAATGCCACATTTGAGACCTTGCTCTGCCTTAAAGCCGAGTTCTCTACTTTTCTCACCAGTGCCTCTTACTTGCTTCTCTCCTGTTAGGTAAAAAGAGACAGCCTACCCAACAGGGCCAGTCTGGCCATCTAGCCTGGATGTCAACCCCTCTGACAGCTTCTCCCCCTACTAGATCCTTGCTGTCAGCACTTTTTTTTTTAGTAAACCATTTTATTGATATATCTCACACATAACACACACATAGAAAAATGCTCAAAACTGACCACAAGCTTAACTCAGGTGCCTCTACTGGACTTGGAAGGCCCCCTGTACGTGCCTCTGCATAGCTCTTCTCACATAGCTCTTCTCACCTGATGAGATTCGTGCCTGAGTGCCTCCCACTCTGAGCTCGGGGGGACGTAACCCCAAAGCAGAACTCAGCTAGAAAGTGTTCAGTATGTTTCTGTCTGTCCTGGAACTAAACTTACAATTAAATATAAATAAGAATTTTTCCCAATAAGTCAATTTGCATATAATACTAGTTATTTTAAAAGAAAATCCCAATTTTTCTTTAAAAAAATAATAGACAATTTTTCACAGACTACTAGTTTTAATTAAGTAGTTTTTACTTTCTATTTTGATGCTCAAATGGTTACATCTTGGCCAATGAGAGCCCCCTTTCAGCTGACTTCTTGATTCTTTCAATTCCATCAGAACTTGGAAAGCAGTCTCGTTTTCTTGCAAAAAAAGCCCCAGGACCACCTTCCTTCTCTCAGCCCTAAGACATGGCAGCAGCCACTCTAAAAAACCCTGTTACTTTTGAGCAGACATTAGTAATGACGCCAAAAATGGGATGTTGGGGATACTTTTACTGAGGGGTAGAGTGATATTGCTACACTAGACCAGCGGTTCTCAACCTTCCTAATGGCACGACCCCTTAATACAGTTCCTCATGTTGTGGTGACCCCCAACCTTAAAATTATTTTCGTTGCTACTCTATAACTGAAATTTTGCTACTGTTATGAATCGTAATGTAAGTATCTTTTTGTTTTCCAATGGTCTTAGGCGACCCCTGTGAAATGGTCGTTCAACCCCCAAAGGGGTCGCGACCCACAGGTTGAGAACCGCTGCACTAGACTATGCCAGAAGCAGAGCTGGAAAACAAATTCTTAAACATCCTGAGTTATCATATTTAAAACTTGAACATTACCAAATGCCCACTGGAATGTTTTAGCTCTTTAACCAAATAACAGTTGATAAATAATACAATTATTCCTTTAATTAAAATTCTTAATTCTGACTAAGAATTGATTGGTACAGTACAGCCTACCTGTGAAGACCAGTCTTTGTGGTCCTGCCTTGCAGAACCTGGCTGTGCTATTTGTTAACTAATCTTTGGCAAACTCTGAATTTCTGAATGTTTCCTTAAATGTAAAATGATAGTACTTACCTCAGATGCTGTGAGGACTCAATGAGATGATACATGAAAAACACCTAGAAGAGTGGATGACATATTGAAAGTGCTCAAGCAATTTGTGCTAGTATAATTGATCAAAAAAACCTACAAAACATGAATGTCAACGCCAACCACTAGATGAATTAATAAGATCTAGCCTATGGTGGTGGTTCTTTGAGTGCACATCATTGTGGTTGTTCTTTGAATGCACCTCACTAATGATGTAGGCCAACTGTTTTGAGGTAGTTGTAAAAAATATTTTTGTTGTGATTACATTGACAAAGACTCTTCTTGACTAAACTTTAGACAGTCTTCTCTGAGCCCTCTTTTCAACTAGGCCTTGTTTTGGGGCTCTGTCTTGGGCCTTGCTAGCCAAGTTTTAGCAAGAATCCTGCTAAGTCAGTTTAACCAGAATTCCCCCACCCTCAACATATCACCGTGGTCTGCCTTCAGCAACAATCCTGTTAAGTCAGTTTGACAAGAATCCCCTATGCTCGATATCTCCTCTTAATAATTTTCCATCTGTTGATCCCTTCACTTTGCTCCTTGGCCATAAATCTCCAGCTGTCTCTGACATACAAGGTGTGATCAAACAATATGGTGAATGTTTAAAATAAAATTACAGTAAAAGACATGTTGCCATTAATCCCCCTTAAAATACTCCCCCTTACTTTGAACACACTTATCCCATTATTCTTGCCACTTTCTGAAGCAGTTCTGGAAGTCCTCTTTTTGCGAGTGTCTTTAGTTGCACTGTTGTGGCTGCCTCGATGTCCTGAATCATTTTGACTTTGGGGAAGAGCCAGAAATCACACGGTGCCAGGTCTGGTGAATAAGGTGGGCGAGGACACACCTTAATGTTATTTGACAGAAGTTGTTGTATACCAGAAACGATGTGTGACACAGAGCCTTTCCGTTGTGATCAAACAATATGGTAAATACTGCTGCCAAGTACCATCCAACGGAAAGGCAGAGATCTTCAATATGGGAAGTGGTGCATCAAACCTTAGTAACTGTGATGTGTCTTTTACTGTAATACATTTTTTTTTAAAGATTTTTATTGGAGAATTGGGGGGATGGGAACAGCACTGGGGAATTGGGGGAAAGGGAACAGACAAGTTGCTGTCATTTTGTTCTTCAGTCTAGTTGTGGAGGACGTTGCTTCACTGGCCCAAGTTGGCACCATCATTGCGCTCTTCCCGGGCAAGGGACATCAGTCACCGGCTTCTGGACGGCCGCTCACGCTGGCTGCTGGCTACATACGGTAGCCCATGGCAACCCACTGCCACAGAGGCTGCAGCCTACGCTGTCGCCGGCGACTCACAGAAGCCCAGCTCCAGGTTGAGCTGTTGTTCAGCATCTTAGCTGTGGAGGGCAGTGTCACTGGCCCTCATATGTGGGATCCAAACAGGGGCCCTCTGGTGTCCCAAGCCAGTGCTTAACCATCGCGCCACTCGGCCGGCCCTGTAATACATTTTTTAAATGTAAACATTCACTGTATTTTGTGATCATACCTCACATTCAGAGTTGAGCCCCACCTTTCCCCCTATTGGGATAGTCTTGATACCTATTGCAAACATCCTGAATAAAGTCTTCCTTACCCATTTAACAAGTATTAGAATAATTTTTCTTTAACAATATCAACACTTGTCTAGTCTTCTGTCTAGTTGTTTAAACTCGTGTTTAATTCAAGACAGATTGGTGTTCTAACAAGTGATAGACTTACTTTGGTAACTGCTTTCTTGAGGAGGCATGTAATGGAGGTTAAGGGATGTCTGATCTATGAATTCACTTCATGAAATGCAGAAAAGCCACGTGGTTCAGTCTCAAAAGTTATATACAAAGGGTCCTGACAGCCTTGGTTGGGTCCTCCTGTATTGGGTCAATCTATAGTTACAAGTACAAGATGCAAATACACAAGTTTCTAGAATAATTCCAAATTATCTTTTACTTTTCTCAAGGATGGAAGTCAGCAACAGTTTTGGAATCAACATACTTTTATAAATCAGGCACCCCAAAATGATGGCTATAAATCTTGGGTACAATGATCAATAGTCATTAAAGTTAACAGATAAAAGAGAACACAATGGTACAGTGGTTTAAAGTATACAGTTTTTTATATATTCAATTCAGTCTTATCAAGTCCTTTCAATTTTGTCATGATATGAAAATTTTAAAAATTTATCTTTTCAGACCTATCAGCTTTTTAGATAACATTTTCTTACTAAATTTAATATGCAATCACACAGATACACATCAAATATACATATAATTTATAATATTTAAAGTATGTCTTTGAATTCTTAACTTTTAAATATATAAAATCTCCAGACAGATCATTAGGTCATAGTGATTTCAGATTATTTCACCATTTCATTCTGAATCTAGGGAAAAAAAATTACACACAGCTCCTGTAAAGATTGGGTAATGATGTTTTGGTTTTTTAAAAAATATCTTGGAATTACATTTACAATGTATAGATCTAAATAATTCTCCCAACCAGGAATGGAGAACCAGGGCACTGGCACAAGGACTACATCTCCAAAACTTTCTACATGATAATCAGAAAATTCTGGTTCAATTGGTATGCATCCATCCTACAAATGTCCCAAGTGAGTCTTATTAAAGAAGTTGGGCAAACACTGCCCTAGAAACACCCAGATTTCTAGTATTCCCCAATTCGGCTTTAAATTCAAGGTGTGGTAGGAAGCCCTGTGCTCTAAAGGAGTTCAACGTACTAAGTGAAACTGTTCACTCAAAAGCACTTAAGGTACACCTGAAACTAATTTAAAAAAAAAGAGAAACCACAAAAAACAAAACAAAAAAACAACAAACACTTAAGCACTACTGAGCAGAAGGTAACAGAAGATTTGGTCTTGTTCTCTGCCCATAAGGAACTTGCTATATAATGAACTGTAAAGCCCATACTTTATTATTACCTGTAATTTTAAATCGTGAATTAAGTCATGGACTTCAAAAGTGGTCTAGAGCAAGTTGTCAACACGCGGTCCCTAATCCCAGTGGCACCAGCATCACATTGTTAGAAATGTAAACCATCAGGCCTTCCTTCAGAAACTCTGGGCTGGGGCCCAACAATCTACAGTTCAATAGGCCCTCCAAGTGACTCTGATGTTCCCTCAAGTTTGGGAACCACTGGCCAAGCAAAAGGAATGTTCTTCAGCAGTTGCTCCACCATAACATCACTGAGTATTTCCAATACCTTCCTTCCTTCCCAGTCCATTCATCTCTCCCCTCCCCACCCCATACACAATCAGATTCACAAAAATAATCTACACATTTCGAAAAGAACATAAAACTTTATTAAGAACATCTTATACTGTCATCAGATACAGCCAAACAAAAAGGGGGAAAGAAACAGGGAAAACTTCATGTGACCATGTGCTACTGCCACCTAAGAACAGACTCATGTGTAGATGGCTGGAATTACAGATGGCAACCCATGCTCTGTGTAAGTAAATTCTGTCAGTAACTCGATGCTCCCTTTCCACAGAGAACTGGGTTTACACTTTAAAATGCTTTCATATAGTGCAACAAAACTACAGCGTTAGGAGCTATTTCTTAATAGAATATAAAGCAGTTTAGTAGCTTTATGCTATTTCATATAATACAAATTTTTAGAATGGAAAATTTAGAAAGAACATTCTTAACTTTCCCAGTTAATTTGTACTTTTGAGTTTTTCTCATTCTAAAGATTTCTCAGAACCAGTTCAATAATTAATAGATGAATTGCTCGCCTACAGTAACAACTGACAACCTAGTTTCATTCTTTTGATTTTGCAAATGTAGATGACAAGATCATCATCTCAGCTTTTCCCGATTCTGAAGTTCTTACAGAAAAGCCCTGACTGAGAGTGCATGTGAGACAAGGTATCAAAATAGCTGATCTGGACCGGTTTTCCTAGAGGGGGAGGTTGCCTACTGAGCACAGCTGATTTTCTCAGATCCCGGGTTCCCCCATGTGGTTCTTTTACTTACTGTAGTGCTGGAAGGAGCGGAGGGAATGCCAGGGAATCTGTTCACATTGCCACTCCAGACAGCTCTCTGCACTGTTTGTGGAGAAAAGAGTGATGGTGTCCATTCAAACCACTGTAGCCCTACTGCAAGTGTGGTGATATGCTTTCTTTTGAGGGGCCGGGCCAAACTGCACTCAAAGAGGCATGATTTGCTTCACATCCACAGTGGAGAAAATGCTCTTGATTTAGAATTTGGTATTATAGTACCATCTAACCCTATTTCTTGAGCAGTAGCAGAAAAGAAGACTACTGCTAAGGCGTACCATGTTAACTACCATAACGCTGAACACGTAGCTAGCTCTTAAACCACGTCATATCATTTGTGTTTACAGTTAGTGAATGAACCAACAACTGAAGGTTTGAGGAGTATTGGTCAATGGGTGGGATTCGGGATAGGATTCAGGTTGAGTATGATCACGTATCACAAATCACATCAAGCTCTTTAAAAAAATAATACATTTTTATAATAAATATTTAGAGCAGATACTGGCATTAAAATCAGTATCTAAGAAGTCTGTCTTACACGGTGAAAATATTTCAACAAACTTCTAATAGATTTCAAATCTTCCCAGGAGTACATAGTTTATAAATTAGGTTCCGATGGAAAAAAATATATTTGAATGGATAAATCACCACTTCAGCAGATCATAAATAAGGTCAAGATGTTGAAAATAAATTAATATACAACTTTTTGCCTTCACTTTAAACTAACTTCTGTGGTATACTTTTAGAACAGGTATAACTAGGTTTTTATAATTGTGCATTTGTTAGCCCCTCCAAGCTAAATCTTTTTTACATGTTCTACACCAAGGGACAGAGGTACATAAGACAGACACCCTGTGAGTGAGTCTGGCTGCTGCGTACCATTTCCTTAGAGTGATGTTACAATGTTACAAATGCTGGTCAAGATCTACTGTTAGTAATTTGTCAGCTACATTAATTCACGTCAACATAAACTACATTCATGGTTAAGTGGATTCAGTTCCCAGATGAGTTTTCTGTGAGAAAATGTGCCCCGACTCCCAAAAGGTGACTAAAAACTTTGGAATATTATTAGCCATATATGAGTGGAGACTTATATGTGTCTCTGTATTGGAGAGAGGTCCAATTGTTAAAAGCACAGTTGCCAAAATTATTGGCTATTAAAAATAAATATTTGCCTTCTCTTTCACATATAAATTCATTTTAACTATAATCTCTAACACTGAGGAAGAAAGAGTGAAGCCATTCAGACTAGTGAGGCATAATTGGCTTGTGGGATTTAAAGATGTTTTATTGACTCTCTAATTTGAATCTGCTTACAATGAAAAGAAAAATGTCTAATATATGAAGTAATGAATGAAGAAAAAAGTGTATCCTAAGCCATTATTGAGTACAAATCCACAGCTTAACAATGTGATTTAAAAAGAAAGCAGGAGAGCATGCAACTGCTCTAGCACACAGGGTTAGAAATAAAAGGTAAAAGTACATTTGTTTCGGTAATTCTAAATATACAAATATAATATTTACCAGATCTACCCTGTAGTGTGGCACTGCTTAATTTCCAAATATACAGTCATTCGAAAACCTTAAGGAACCATTAAAAATGTTCCAGGCTACTTTACTAAACATTAATGAAGATTATGTTCTTGAGATATTAGAGCTAAAAATACCATTGTTTTTAAAATTAAATGACTAAGGGATAATAAAAGTATCATTATTTTGTTTCTTTTAATCCCATAGATGGTTTTATGTTAAAAGGAGACTGATTTGACACATAGAAATCAGTTCCAGAACGAAAGTTGTCCTCTTGGTAGAATGTCAAAATTTGTAACATTCCCAAAGCATTTCATATTAATTTTATCACATAATTCTAAACAGTTTAATCAGTGGGGTCCCTATTTAACACTCCGCTTGTTGTACACTGGCAGCTGGAATAGAACCCCTATGGTGCTATTACGGAAAAGTTCTCTGAGCTCCGATCTGACCCTAAAATTAACATCCATGTTTAGTGCTAAATGCCCCAGGAAATAAGGAATCAAAGGCGTCAGAGGCACAGAACTGATATTTTGGTTGTGGAGAAGGGTGAAGATTAAGTTGGAACATTTAGTCCCTTCTACAATCAAGTCCTAACTATACCTTAATGAAGTCTCAATCAACTCCTGATTAGTTCTTACCCTTTAGGAATTACACACTATACAGTGATTAGATACTGAAGAAAAGAAAAACATTTGAGAATACATGAAGAAATAGAAATATGGAATTTCTCACAAAGCCCTGGATCAAAAAAATTTACAAAAGATCTTTCGAAAATAATCACTATTTGTGAGCTTATTATTAACACACAGAGATCATCACTTTGTTTAAACTAAGTCATGTTAACTTACCAATAAAATAGTAAACAAACCAACATTTTAAACAATTTTATAAATTACTTTTTTTTTTTTTTTTGGTTAGTGTCACTCTCTCAACAATATACAAAAATAACGCTACAGGACTATCTACCTAACCTGTCTCCATCTCCTGCAAAGTCCTGGGCCCTGGAAAGAGACGGGTTGTCAATCTTCACTGTAGAGGTCCCCCGCAAAGGGCAGGTGCATGTGGCTGCCGGTGACATTGGGCAAGCGAGATAAGTCTGGGAGGCTCTGGATCCGGGACCTGAGTTCTTTGCGCACCAGGGAAACCCTGGCTAACTTGCGCTTGTATTCCTGTAACATCAAATAACTTTCATTAGTGTTCTGGCAGTTCCAGCTGACGCCCGACGTAAAATCTGGCACTAGACTCAGTTAATGCTGGATAAAAAAGATGATTACAACGTGAGCTTTAGGATCAAAAGCGGGATTTTGGAAATATACAACTAGGTAAACTGTACTACTATTACAAAAAAACCCACAATCTTAAGCTGTTGTGTCACATGTGTAAAAAAGAAAACTAACGTATTAATATGCTTAACGTCAGCATATGAGATTTTCAGGTGTCCTTGAGCTTGGATAAGAAAAACCACATTTATTTTCACAAACCTAAACTGAAATTTACCAGTGTTCCATTGTGAATGTTGGCAACAAACCACAGGAGTGTTATCAGTACCCCTGAATTTGTCTCCAATAGAAACCAGTTGCTTCAATATTACACAACAGTGTTTTACAGCTATCTTGAAATACTGTTTACATTTACTACTGTGAAATCATGGTAGTTATTAGACCAACTATTAAATGTTATTTAATGTGTCAACATAGAAACATATTATTGTGCAAATTTTATTATTTCAATAACTGCACTTCAATGTAACTTATTTCCTCTGTAATGCTATGCATTTTATTTTCTACACTTAAAATATTTAAAACTTGAGAAGGGGTCCAAGTCTTCACCAGACTAAGAGATTCCAGTCATACAAAAAAAGTTCAGGAAACCCTGCAAACATTAGCTCATGGATTTAGAGACTGGAAACTAATCAAGATCATGTTGGGCTTACAGGGAAACAGTCCATTCTCTATAGTGGGAATATCTCCCTTTAATTGAAGTCTCTAGACTCCCACATGGGGAGAGAAACCCTCCTATACTCCACCACCTAGTGTAGGTAGGATGTGTAGGGGGATCTAGAAAATGGGTATTCTTCCTTTAGAGAGACTAGAACCTCTCCCCTCCCTCTGACCGAAGCTGACCTCAGAAAGAAGACAGAGCGGTTGGGATAAGCTTTCATTTGGGGTAGAAGGCCTATCCACAAAAAGCCCCTCTTTAGTGTTTCTCAGCTCTGACTGCACATCAGAATCACCTAGGAAATATTTAAAGAAAATCAGATTTTTCAAGAGAACTCCAGCCCCACTGCATATCCATTCAATGAGAATCGCTGGAAGCGGGTCCAGAGCCTGTGAATTTTGTAAAAGCTCCCAAAACGAAGCTAATACATAGTCAGAATTGTGAGCCACTTCTCTAGTTTTTCTGCCTAAAATGAAATCAACTAGTGAAGCTTCTTTGTACTAATGAGCCTCCGCTTTCAAAGAATAAGTACACCTGGAGAAAGGGATTTTCAGAATGACTATAATCCCACTGCTGTAAGAGGATGGGGAAAGCAGGGTTCTGAAACCTGGGGAGCTGGGCGCACTGGCAGACAAAGCAGGCACGGTGGAAAGCTGGGCAAGTCAAGGACAGCTCTGGCTGCACACACGAGGTGTCAATTCTTTCCATGTCTTACATGGCCCTGCATTTCAAATCTATCATGAAGATCAAGGTAGAGTCAAAGAGAGTTTACTAGGGATCTATAATCCCAAGGTATGATTTTTCCCTTCCCGTTTCCTCTTTACCAGTGGCACACACTGGTATGCTGGGTAGGCTTCAGCATAGCAGCTCAGAGTGGCATACAAAAGATGAGCACCTGGGTATTTCACATTCGAGATCCATACTTCTCAATAGGATCTCATTACACATCTCCACATTTAGCACGTTTCTTCCTCAGAACACGGCAGTTAGTGTGAGGGCAAATACACATCTCCATCTGCCTCACTGCTCTTAGCTGAATCATTCTTGAATCAATAATATCTAAAGCACTGTGGGGTCAGCACAAAACATTCAGATGCTATTCAAACATGCTCAGAAGCAATTACTCTCTGCTCCTCTTGAGGCTGTATGTTCTGAAAGATGTCTTATGTGCCTCTCGTGATCACTACTGCCCACCCTAATTTCTCGCATCCAAATAAGCTGTTCAATTAAGATTTCTCTTAATCTTTTTATTCAAATGATATGTAGCAATTAAAAGCCTTCAGCTGGTTGGAATACACTGCAGACAAGCAACTGCTAAACATTAACAAAAGCTGCCATTGTTTGAACGTCTGTTATATGCTAGGTATTAAAATATGACCTCATTTAATCCTCTCAACAATCCTATGAAAAGAATGACTATCCTTTATAAACATATGAAATCCTACTTTCCCAAATTAGGAACAAAAGTAGTAGTCAAAAACTTTTTGCTACGCTCACAGGCAGACTTTCAACCTAAAGACAGAAGGCTTAAGTAGCTGTGGTAAACTGCCTGATGTTAGGCTGAAGACTGGATGAAACCTGATAACTACTACCTGATTGTATGATCCAGGCCATAGTTTTAAAAGTTTTGAATTGCATCACTGGTGGTCCAGAAAAAGACTCCAAGATTCCATGGATTGGTTTCTTATGGGAATGATGCTTTCAATAAGATGTGTGTATTAACTCTGATTCTGATGTACAATCATGAGAGTACTTCTCTTACATAAGAATCATCGCAGCACCATGAATGTACTCTCCTCCTTCCCTGCAGCTCCCAAAGGGCTTTATTCCTGGGAGAGCAGGACACCAACATTTACCATCCTATCCCCAGCTACCTGTTGCTAAGGCCAAGTCTCAAGATAGCATAGTTAAGGGCCTGGGGGCTCCCTTCTACTCAGTCCCCACTAGTGAACCAGGGGGTCCACCTTGGATGTGGTGAGCTGAGAATACTGGGGCCCTGATGACCCTTGCCCCCCAACTCAGGAGGTGGTGGTCTACACCAGAAGAGGCCAGCTGAGAGAAACACAGGCGGCTGCACCCCTCCCCCTCACCAAGAGCTCAGTTCCTATAGCAGGGATACCACTCAAATAAAGCATGCCATTGTCCCCACTCCAAGTTCCAGAGCCCTGCCTGACTGAAACATTTTGTCTTAGAGAAGCAGGCAGTAAAACAGGTAGATTGATCCTCAGCTCCTCACAAAGGAACCGACTTTCTATGTAACAACAGAGCAAGGAGAAGTTTAAGCCTGAAGGTACTATCAAGAACAGTGGAGGCTATGGAAAAAGGCAATTAGGAGGCCAATTCATAACAGAGGCTAAATTGCAGACCACCTAGTTTGCAGGACATGGGGAATAAAACAGCTGCACGGTGCTCCCCTGATGTCTGAACAAATATCTAACACTGACCTCAGAAACAAAATCAGTATCTCAGAAATTCTGCACCCCCATGTTCACTGCAGCATTATTCACAACAGCCAAGATATGGAAACCACCTAAGTCTCTGTCTACAAACGAATGGATAAAGATGTGGTACATACATTAATACATACAATGAAATATTGTTCAGCCATGAGAAAGAAGGAAATCCTGCTATTTGCAACTCAGACAAACCAGAAGACATTAGGCTAAGTAAAATTAGCCAGAGGAAAACAAATACTGTATAATTTCATTTACATGTGAAATCTTAAAATAAAAAAGGTGAACTTATAAAAATAGAGAATGGTGGTTACTAGGGGCTGGGATGGCGGAGGCAGAGAGGAAGATGCTCGTAAAAAGGCTACAGGCCTTCAGTTATAAGATGAATAAATAAGCTCTGGAGATCTAATGCACAGCATGGTGACTAGTTAATACTGTGTCGTGTACTTGAAATTTGCTGAGAGTGGACCCTAAGCGTTCTCAACACACACACACACACACACACACACACACAATGTGAGGTGATGGATGTAACCTGGCTGTGGTAATCACTTCACAAAGTGTACATGTGTCAAATAATCACACTGTACACTTTAAATATATACAATTTTTTGTCAATTTTACCTCAATGAAGCTGGAAAAAGAAGAGAACTATCTCTTTATTCTACTAGTAAACCAAAATTTTACCCTAAGCATGAAAAAGAAAATGCAAACACATTGGCCCATATGTATCGGGAAAGTCAGAGGTGGCAGCCCAATCGGACCAGCCAATCGATGGACAAAGCCACTACAGGCTTTATAAATCTCTATCACAATCTTCTCATTCTTTCCTAACGAAAACTGTGCTTGCAAAAACAGCTTTCAAAAAACTTAGTTTGTGTTTTAACTTAAATTTAACTTTTTAAAAATAAGTTTAATTCTATCCAGCCCCTAAGTGGAAGGACCCGAATTTTAAATTTTTAAATTAAAAAAAAAGTGCCCCAAAGCCAAACCATTAAAAAGTTAAGCCCCTTTCCTTAGCAACAGATACTAAACTGATATATACTGCTTTAACTGCAAGTGTATAGAATCCTGGCTATTCTGTGGGTTTAAAAGGTTTCTGATGCAAATCAAAACCGCAATGAGACATCATTTCACATACACCAAAATGCCTATAATCAAAAAGGCAAACAAGGGCCGGCCGAGTGGCGCGATGGTTAAGAACTGGCTTGGGATGCCAGAGGGCCC